CTAGCGCAATTTGGTCTGGTCCAAATCTCAACCAAGCCCTCCAGTCTTGGAAAGGAGATAAAACGGTAGAAATGTGGCCCCAACAATGACTTGAGAGGGCCTCTCGATTAGAGTTTCTGTCTGTCATTCGCTTACGACCAAATGACATCCCCATATCTTTGCTTACTTACATAGCGGCATAGCCAGAAGAGAAGTCATCGAAAGCACACTCATGATTGGCAATTTATATTTTTAAAGGACACCTTGTCCGGAATAAAAACAGACGGCCACTAGCGCACGTAAAATCAGCTAACAGTCTCATTTAGTCTCGTGATTTTTGGCCAAACATGTGTGAGGGATAATTAAAAGGCGGATAGGCCACTCAACTCTCAGTGGTCTGCCGATCGTCAGAAGTAAGAATAACAACGAAAAAGGGACAATTATAGAGGATGTGCGTCAATTAACTGTCGCTGACGGACGTCTGAACGTGACTATATGGGACTCTGTACGCCGGCGCCAATTCGATATATTGATTTACGGAGTTCCCACCCTTGGGCCAGGCTTCAATCAACCCATAGCTCATCTTGTTTCCGTCGTGGTCGAGTAGCTTGACGGCTGCAAACTTTAATTTGTGGTCTGGTTCATAAGTTTGAGCTGCAACTTGCGATACGTCATCGCCCGTCGTACAACTAGCTTATGTTGCTGTATGTGCCATCCGAGCCTATGTTCAGATTGATCTGTGTAATTAAAAGGACAACTTAGGCATCGAATGTGGTACAGATTGCTCATTGGGATTAAGCCGGTCTTCAATTCTCATCAGCTTGTTACGCATGGTAGCTTTGGGTCGGTGTGCAATTCCAATACCGAGTCTCACAGCGATACGCTCAGTCGTTTCTGCGACGTCCCTGATGTATGGTAGAGCGTGCCATATCCTCGGTAGTGCTTCTGTTTGGGACGAACGCGTAGACATCAGTTTATAAACACTCTCGAATATCCACTCCACATAAATTGGTCTCGGAGATATCGGGCCTCGCGTACCTTTCCTCTGGCCTGCTGTAATGAGCCTGAATCCGTTTGAAGAGCCTTCTCAAACAGCTTCGGTTCTTAGCAACCGGATTTTTGCTGTGAAATCTGAGAACTTGTGTTGTGTTCATTGCCGTCCTGTTAACTGTCGTCCCACTTTCACCGCTGAGTGTTT